TCCATTGATATTTAAAGTTATTATTGAAAGATGTGTATTGGTTGCCAATATTTTGATTGCTGTTTGCATTCTTTGTATAATTTTGTGTTTCTACAATTATATCTTCATTTAGTTTCTTTCTGTTGCCCCTGGGGTATAGTTGTTCCTTTCTCCATTCTTTATATTGCTTCAAGTATTCTTTGAAGGGCTGGTTGTGTGGACATGTATTCTTTCAGGCTATTCATATCATGGAAGATTTTTCTTTCCCCTTCAGCTATAATTGACACTTGTGCTGGGTAAAGTATTCTGGGCTGGCATCTATGGTCATTTAAAACTGGAAATACTTTGATCCAGGCTCTTTTGCCTTTCATAGTTTGCAGTGATAAGTCAGCTGTAATTCTAATGGGGTTTTCCTTTACATGTGAGTTGTGTTTCCTTTGCAGCTTTCAGTATTCTCTTTGTTCTGTACATTTAGTGTTTTCACTATGATATGCCACGGGGGAGTTTATCATCTGGACCTATTTGGTGTTCTATGTGCTTCTTGTATTTGTATGGGGATCTTTCCTTAATTTTGGGAAATTCTCTTCTACAGTACTGTTTAAGATCTGGTCAGTACCATTAACCTGAAATTATTCTCCTTCCTCTATGCCTATGATACATAGATCTCATCATTTCATGGTGTCCTACATCTCCTGCATATTCCATTCCTATGTTTTTAAAATTTTTATGTAATCTTTGCTTGAGCAGTCCAATTCTTCAACTTTATCCTACAGTGTTGATATTGTTTTCCATTTCATTCATTCTAGTGGTGAGGCTTTCTCCTGTTGTTTTAAGTTGGCTTATTTTTTCACTTCCTTCTTCATTTCAGCCTGAGTTTTCTTCAATGTTTCTATCTCTTTTGTGAATTTATTCAGAAGTTTATCCTTATCTTTAGTTCTTTGATTTTTGTGTTCTTTAAATTCATTGAATTCCTTGATCATGTTTATGATTGTCTTTTAAATTGTGTCCTGGGTTATCTCTAGGGGGCTCTCCTTGTAGAACTCTTCTACAGGACTGGTGGAGTTTAGTGGGAACATACAGTTTTGGTTTTCCATTTTATTGTTTTTTCATTGTGATTTTAGCATGTGGGTTTCTTTTGTTGTTTGATTCTGGTATGAAAATCAAGCCGTCTTTTCTAGAGTTGAAGTTTGCTTCTGTTTGTATTATTGGTCTGCCTTAGTTGTTTTCTTATTGATTATGCAGAGTTGGTTGGTCTAGGTCTCAGGTTCTCTCAGATTTTAATTTGGAAGGAACTTATGGCTTCAGATCAGCTACTCAGGAGCTCCCACAGAAGCCCAAGTCAGACTCCAGTCAGGCAGACTCAGGCTTCCTTCTAACATTTGGACCCCTACTAGTGGTACTCAGAGCACAATTTGGGAAGTTCCCTAAGGGGAGACCAGATCCAGGCGCTCTCAGATGATCTGCTGAGTTCTCAGACCCTACCCCAGGGCACTCTCAGGCTCTCTGTTCTCAGTCCCTACCTCAGGCTGAGGCCAGATCAGGCACTCTCAGGATGTCTGCTAAGGTCTCCCGTCTCCCCCTTACCCTGCTGTAGTACAAAAAGGTGTGCACCGGGGGCCCTGGGAGCGGCCTCACTAATCCAAGTTAGGGGGTTGGGCACAGCATGATTTAGGGAAGCTCACTACCATGTGGAGGCCAGATCCAGGCACTCTCAGGTGGTCTACTGGGGTTTCAGCCCTTACACCCAGTGGAGGGCAGATCAGGCACTCTCAGGTGGTCTGCTGAGTTCTCCTCGGCCAACTTTCTTATACAATCCAGAATCACCTGCCCAGGGGTGGCTTCAGGGAGCTTAGTCCCCTTGTCATGTTACCTCAGGATTTCTCAGGTTGCAGACAAGTGTGCCACAGGATAGGCATGAAGTGAGGTGTCTTACAAAGATGATCTTTGTTAAATTCTAAGGTTGTGGAACCTTAGTTCACAGGTAACAACACATAAACTATGAAAAAACATGGCCCTCAGGGCTGGAGAGATGGCTAGCAGTTAAGAGCACTGGCTGCTTTTGCAGAAGACCTGGGTTCAGTTCCCAGCACCCACTTGGTGGCTAACAACCACCTGCAACTCCAGTTCCAGGGTATCCAAAGCCCTCTTCTGGTCCCAGGAGGCATTGTACCTATATGGTACATACACATACATGCAGACAAACATACACGTAAAATAAAAATAACTTAAAATTTTTTTAAAAAAAAGAAAAAGAAGCTGGGTGTGGTGGTGCACACCTTTAATCCCAACACTTGGAAGGCAGACCTCTGTAAGATCAAGGTCAGCCTGGTCTACATAGTGAGTTCCAGGTCAGCTGAGACTACAAGGAGACCCTGTCTCAAAAAGACCAAAAAAATGAAATGAACAGGTGAGCAGTCACTCTGACAGCCCTTGAATTGCCACATCTTCCTGGAAGCTACGGCTAGAACACTTGTCCTCTCTTTCAACTCCTTATCTGAAAAGTAAAATACAACTAAAAGAGTTCACCCAATCTTTATGACTTTTGTAATAAAATTAACTACTCAAGTGGTAAAGCAGTTAAAATCTAAACCAACTCTAAATTCCTAAGAATTATTCTGTAAACACATTGTTTTCAGAGTAAATAATTCTTTTTTGACCTTACAGCTATTCTCCAACACAATGTAGTTATAAAGTCATGATTTGGAATTTCTGGATTACTAAATGTGTGAATATTCTCTTATTACCATTCTGGTCTTTAAGAATGCTATTTTTCTAGGCCAGCATGAACTATATAGGAAGTCCAAAGCCAGCCTAGGCTATATAGTGAGACCCTGTCTCAAAAAAATTAAAAAGCCATGTTTCTTGGCAGGCATGGTGGCACTTGCTTTTAATTCAAGCACTCAGGAGGCAAAGGTAGACAGACCTCTGTGAGTTCAAGGCCAACTTGGTCTATATAATTCCAAGCCAGGCCAGCTGCTACATGGTGAGACCCTGTATCAAAAGAAATTAAAATAAGATAAAAAGTCATGTTTCTTTAAAAATATTATTCATATAATAACCCAGGTTGGAGATGGAGAAATGGCTCAGCTGTTAAAGCAGGTACTGATCTTGTAGAAGACCTGAGTTCAGGTTCCAGCACCCATGTCAGGTAGCTCACAACCCCGTGTAACTCCAACTCCAGAGGGTTCCAATGCCTCTGACCTCTGTGCACACATGCATTTGTGTACATACCCATATATAGACACACACATACACTGGGGGCTGGAAAGTTGGCTCAGCAGTTAAGAGCACTGGCTGCTCTTACAGAGGACCTGGGTTCAATTTCCAGCACCCATACAACAGCTAACAGTCATCTGCAACTCCAGTTCTAGGGGAATACAACACCCTCTTCTGACCTCTGCAGGTATTACATGACATGGGTGCACTTACATACATGCAGGCAATACACTCATACACATAAAATTAAAATAATAAATATTGTACTAAAAAATCAAAAATAGAGGCTGGAGAAATGGCTAAGAGGTTAAGAGCACTGGCTACTCTTACAGAGGACCCAAGTTTGAGTCCCAGAACCCACATGATGGCTAACAACTGTCTGAAACTCCAGTTCCAGGGGATCTGATACCCTCTTTGGAATTCTGTAAGCACTGCATGACATGGGTACACTTACATGCAGGCAATATACTCATACACATAAAAATATCATTCATGCCGGGCATGGTGCCACACACCTTTAATCCCAGCACTTGGGAGGCAGAGGCAAGCGGATCTCTGTGAGTTCGAGGCCAGCCTGCTCAAATAACTACCATCATCACAACTTTGACTGAGCCTGACTGCTAAACATAGTCACAATTTGGCTTGATGATGGTCGTACTCATTCATTAAAGGAGTGCCAAGCAGGGTCACTGGACCCTTACCTGAGTATCCAGCCACTCTTCCCCACCAACTAATCCAGCCTTGGAAGACAAAATAAAAATGAGGAAGAACCCAATGGAGGGATGCTTTTGGAAGCCCTTGTCAAGAAACTCCAATGGACTCTCATATGAACATTTGAAAATTACCTGTTCTGACTTTTTTCTAGTTCCCTGTCTAGAACTTGTAATCCTAATTACTCTTGCCTTTACTTCTCCTTCACATCTCCTATTCATGATTCAAGGACTTTCTTTTACCCTTAGAGATAAGGGTTCTGCAATTTCTGAGTCTTTTAGATAGACCCACTGAAGGGATAATCCAATTGCCTCACCCTGCATCCCTGTTCAGCATGGACGAAGCCAGAGTGGTCTAGGTCCCAAGTCCATATTGGCAATTTGGGTAACCCCTCCAAAGGATGGTGTGATAAGAATAGGAGGTAGGAATTGGCTAGGCAGTTAGGGTAAAAAGACCCAAAAGAAAAGTAGCCAGTTTCTGGGCTAAAAGTCAAAATGTCCTTGAGCCTGTTAGCAACATATTCTGTTCCAAAAGCCAAAAATGTCAAAAGTATTTGGGAGCTTGTATCTAATCCTTAAAAGATTTTAGGGTTACCGCTTCAGAGGGGGGAATGTTAGAGTAGCCAAAAGCCCCAAAAAAATAAATAAATCAAAGAAGGAAAAAAAAAAAGTAAAAAAAGTGATGGGGAGATATGGGAGGTGTTGGAGGGGATGGAGTGGGCATGGATTTGATCAAAACACCTTATATGCATGTATGAAATTCTCAATAAAGTTTAAGTTAAAAAAATAAAAAATAAACATATTTTTAAAAAAATAAAAAACAAATGAATAACTGGAGTTGGTTTATTATGTGTATATGAAGAGATATAATGAAAAATAAGTCATGGCGCTAGAGAGATGGCTCAAGCAGTTAAGACAATGTACTACTTTTGCAGAGGATATGAGATGGGTTCTCAGCATCTATATCAGGCAGCTCACAACCACCTGTATCTTCAGTTCATGGAGATTCAACACCCTCTTCTGGCCTCCACAGGCACTATATTCATGTGTACAAACCCATGTTCAGACATACACAAAATTAAAAATAACTCAAGCTCAGGTTCAAATTGCTTGTATTTAAGCACTGATTATACAAAAATGTATAAATGTAAAAATGAACTAATTTATAACTTCATTTATTCACATAACTGTGTTCAAAATACATTTCAGGTGAGACAGTCAAAAGATCTTTACATGCATTTCCGAAGAAATCATACAGAAGCAGCAGCTTTTTCAATAAACTTGGCCAGTTTCACATCTCTCTTGGTCAGCCCACCACAGTCATGTGATGTGAGAGTTATCTGGACCTAAGAAAGGGAAAAGTAGTTTTTAAAACCCTGAGTAGCAACTCATGGAATTTCTCCTTGGGTGGCTTAAAAATTTATATATTATTCAACATTCATATTTGAGAATTGGAGGGATTAGATGATTTAGAAAATACCACATTATGAATAAACAGCATTTCCGAAACCCAGCAAACTCCAGGGCACAGGCTGCACCAGGCCGGGCCTCGCAGCCACCCAGGAGAAAGAGGTTCTCAAAGGAATGAGACAAGTCAGATGCCAGCAAGGAAAATCTTGCTTCTTAGGGAGAAAAAAGAGGAGAGACTGAGGTTCCATTTTAACTCCCATTACTTAATTACTCCAACTATTTCAGCCACCAAGAAAGAGCAAGCTATCTAATGCAGTATCTCAGCAGTGATGTTAGAACAGCACACTTCCAAATTAGGAAAGCATGGTGTGGACGGTACTTGACAAAAAGATTAAAAAGTAAAAGCAAAGTCATGGGCAAAGAGAAGTAAATCGGAAGGTAAAGTTTATCTTAGTACTGAGTACATGGAATAATTTTTTAAAAGTCACGAGAATGGTGAAATTCTTTTTCTAAACAAGGAATTACAAAGAGAAAACACTAAGAAATCTGGATAGTAAAATATTCCAAGGGATGTGACCATAAAGGCACTCTTGGGAGGATGTGGCTGTTCTCTCTGTACCCCTTAAAACTTTTTTAGTCTGCCCCCTGGAGATCCAAAATGTAGTAAACAGAGCCAGGTGTGGTGGTACATGCCTTAATCTGAGGAGGCAGAAACAGGTGGATCTCTGTGAGGTTTAGGCCAACCTAGTCTACATAGTGAGTTTCAGGTCAGCTGGGACTACATAGCGAGGCCCTACTTCACCCCGCTGCCCCCCCAAAAAATTTTAATAAACATTTACTACAAAGAGACACTTTCTGAGAAAATTCATTTTTGTTAGACAAATAAGGTCATATTATTTATTTGCTACCATTACTTTCAATAAATCACTTTCAGTTTACAAATTGAAGGTCTCCAATAACTGAGCTGGTCATCATAGTGAATTCCAGGCAGCCAGGGCTACATAGCAAGACCCTGTCTCAAACTCCCCAAAACAAATTCCCCTCCACAAAAAGTAAAAGTTTTAGCTACATGCAAAGGTTAACTTGGCAGCCTAATTCGGCCCAAGTTTCTCATATGTATTTTAGAAGACAAAGAGCCAGAGTCACTGATGTTATGGGCAGACAAGAACTTCGTTACTAATTTGAAATAATGCACAGGGACTCTGTGCCAGGCATGATTCAAGACCAGCCTGGTCTACAAAGCCAGTTCTAGACCAGCCAGTGCTCTGTAGTGAGACCTTATCTCAAAACAAGGCAAAACAACTAAACAACAAACAATACACGAGATTCTAAGAGAAAGAATAAGAGAATGCTTTCTTAAGTACAACAACATTTAGCAGAAAAATAAGCTTCTTAAATCTCCCAATTAAAAGCAATCCCCAGATAAGGTGGTTCAGTTACCTTGTTGTACACATTGAACCATTCAGGGTGATGATTCATCTTCTCTGCTTGGAGGGCAACTCTGGACATAAAGCCAAATGCCTGCATAAGACAAAGTCAAAAGTAATTACTAACACTGTCCTCCAGTCTGCCCCGGACACTCCAAGGCAATCCAATAGATAAAGACATATGAGGGTCCTAGAGAAGCCTGGGGAAATCAACAGCTAAAGGACTGTTCTCTGCAGCCTGGGGCACCAGCGTTACAGACTGCCCTGCTGCTAGGTGGGGACACAATCTGGCTCAAATAAACAAACCAGGAAATTAGTCTCACCTAGTGACCTATCTGGACTGTTTAATTGTCCTAGGATGAGACTCTCCGATTGCACAGGAATAATTTCCCTTCGACCCAGTGCCCTGGGTCTCACTACCTGCCCCAAGTCTTGGGAGCCAATTTGCTTGTTAGCTCTGTTCTTTTTGTTTTTAGGGACTAGGTGCTAAGAACCAGCTGCAAGACTATAGAAAAAGGTTCTCTAGGTGTGTCTTGACCAAAAGGAGAGGCAGAAATGGGAGACTTTCCCATACCATCTTTCAGAGGTAGGGCCAGAATGAAGGCCTGCTTCCATTGTCTCACAGTCAAAGAGACTTGTGTGCTTGCTGGGGGGCTCTGGCTACAGCCCCACAGTGCTACAGTGTATCTGCCTCAGGGTAGAAGACAAGCCTGGAAACAAGCTGAAAACCCTACCCATGACCTGGAAAGCCAAGGTTGGGTCTTTAGGCCACAGGGAAAGCAGAAATACCAAGCAGAAAGGCAAATGTATTTGTTCTTCGGGGAAAACATTTTTTTTGTTTTGCTTCCTTTCAAAGTCTTAAGGCGGTAATTGCAAATATCTTAAGTCTATTTTTATACAACCCTTCTAAGACTAAAGGAATACTGCAGAAGGGGGATGAGAAGTGTGTAAGAACCAGAAGACAGAATGAAGGACTGTGAGATGCCCTCCTCTAGATTCTACCCGGCCACTGCAATCATGAGTTCACAACAACTGTGAACTCACACAGACTGGCCCTATGAACAGTCAGCTACGGGTTAGAGAGATTGGGGGGTGGGGGGAAGGAAGGTAGGAAGGAAGGAAGGGAGAGAGGGAGGGGGGAGGGGAGAGAGGGAGAAGTTCAAGCAAAATACATTCAACCACATGTGAAACTATCCATGGAAAAACAGTATTCATTTTCCTGGCCTTTTTATTCCAAATTCGATTCTCTAAATTACATGAAGGGCACAAGTAGGACATGGAAGTCTGTTTTAATTATTCAGAGTCAATCTGTATTAACTGGCGTGCAGGAATTTCTACTGTCTACAGTGGCTTATTCTTGTGCAGCCTTAGCAAACAAGAAACTAACCACTCCCACTGAGAGACAGTACTATGGTTGCTAAGGGCCTGTCTGGCCTTTGAACCAGGAGTTCTGGATGGAAAATCTGACACTACATTTAACTGTCATGTGAGTCAACTCCCAGGCTGTTTATTTCTTTTCTTTCTTTCCCCAACTCACCTCTGCATTTTGAGACAAGGTCTCACATAGCCCAGGCTGACCCCAAACTTAATCTGTTAAATGCTGTGGCAAGGACAGGCATGTGCAATCATAAATGGTGTCCAGACTCAATTTTCTATTTTTTAAAAATTTTTTACTGAGCTTCTGTAATTTCATACAACAGTTCTTAATAAAATTTAGACCCCTCCCCCATCCATGTCCCCTATCCCCCTACCGGACCTCATGTATTCCACCATACACATTAAGACAGTGAGCTCACTGATTGGTACCAGCAGTTGTACCCAAATGTCCTTTAAGTATAAATTTGTCCACCAGTGTCTAGTCAGCCTGTCTAGAGATTTTTAAAAGTTACTTTTTAAAAGGTTTATTTCATTTTTAATGATGTGAATATGCACCCTGAAGCTAGAGTAACAGGCAGCTGTCGAGCCACCCAACATGGTGGCCTCTGCAAGAGCAGTACTTGCTCTTAACCATGGAGCCATTGCTCTAATCCTCAGCTTACCTTTTCTTTTTTAAAATTAATTAAATTTGTTCTGAGACATTCTCCACATGTACATAGGCATACTTTTACTATCACCCTCTCCTCCTTACCACCCCTGTCCATTTTCCCCTACTCCTCACAAATCTCTCCCGGTCACGTATATTAGTTTTGTTCTGTGATCCACTGAAATTATCCAGTTTGGAGCTATTGCTTGGAGCCTGGTGGGCTCAGGAGTGGGTACACAGCTAAGCACAGTGATTCCCCGCCTCTCAGAATCTATCAACAGTCAGTAGTTGAGAGGAAAGGGTAAGCCCCATGAGCCCCTCCCACTGATTGTTGATAGGGCAGGTCTTGTGTGGGCCCAGTGCAGGCGCCTACACCCGTGAGTTAATGACTGCAGTGACTGTACTGAGTCTAGAGATGGGCATTTTGCAGCCCTTCACCGTATCTTCCAGCTCTTACAAACTTCCTGACCCTCTTCTGCAATGTTCCCACCTAGGCTGTTTTCTTTTAAGTAAAATGGAGATTTTTAAAAACTTCTATAATCAATCTAATACGAAATGAGGTAAGGTGTATAAATGCACTTAACACACAGCATTTGGCACAGAATATGAGCTCAACGATGGCATACACTGCTATGGCTGCTGTTTAAGATAAGCCTTACAAAGTGCAACGAGATGCAAAAGGCTTCAGAATCTAAGATTTAGTTGCTGTCTCCCAAAAAATGGCCCTTTCTTTTCCCATCTTTCAGACATAAAAATACACACACATATACCAAACAAACAGATAATATATTGTGGATGACACCGAGTACTGACACTGATGAATGGCAAAAAGTCATGTGCACAGTCACTGCCCAAGTTCTTCAGCCCTGTAAGCCACAATTTCTTTGAATCACAATTCAAAAGGTCCTAAAAGGTCCAAAGTGGTGTCTGGCATTCCTTTCCATTTTAGAAGACCCAAATGGATCAAGGAGATGGCTCTTTCAACATCTTTGACCACCAGCATGCTATCAACACAGTAGCCACCATGGATTTGAGACTCTAAAGGGAGCTGTCACAACCTAATAGGCATCCTGATCAAACAACCAGCATCTACCATAACTAAATATGTTTTTAAAGCACACATTCAAAGACTATCCCAATTTTTATTTTCCTCAACTTTGCATATTTTTTCAACTGTCCCATAATATTCGCATTTAGGAAAATATTACAAGGCTGGCGAGATGGCTGTGCAGGAAAAAGCATCTGCCACACACGTCTAACAATCTGAGTTCAAACCTCAGGACGAGCTGCAGAAAGAGAGAACCAACCCCCAAGACTTGTCCTTTGATCTCCACACATGCCATGGTGCACACCTACACACACACACACACACACACACACACACACACACACAAAATACATAAAGAAAAAATTTTAAGAAAGAAATATTACCAAGTCTAATAAACCACACAAGATTTAGTCATAATTCTTCCCTATGAAAGAGTACTCAATTTGCTAAGAGGGCAAAGAAACAATTCTACAATCCTCCTTTTATATAACAGACCCAAATCTTCAAAATATTTCAGAGTCTACAAACTTAAAATGTCCATAACCACACATATTCAAGTCATAAGACCTACTACAGGGAGTTTAGATGAACAGTTAAGAGGGGAAAAAGCAAAACCTGAAAGGGAATTTTGGTTATCTGGAACATAATGAAGAAATATTGCCAAACAGCCAACTCAGCTGATGATCCAACGCATCTGTCTGTCCCTTCTTTCAAAGATTTCTTTTTACCCACCTAGCTACTTGTTACCAAGACCCCAGGTGAATTATTAAAAGTGTGTAGGCCTTCTGAAATCATTCCGTCAAACAAAGATGGAAACAGCTTAAAACAGAATAGATACCACTAACAACTCTGGATGACTCAGAAGACAGGATTAAGAAAATAGGCAAGGGGCTGGAGAGATGGCTCAGTGGATAAGAACACTGAGTGTTCTTGCAGAAGACCCAGGTTCAAATCCCAGCACCCACATGGCAACTAACAGCTGTCCGTAACTCCAGTTCCAGGGGATCCAACAGCCTCTTCTGTCCTCTGAGGGCATTGCACGACACGGGTGCGCTTACCTACATGCAAGTAATACACATAAAATAAAAATAATAAAAAAAATAGGCAAAACGAAATAGAAAGCTTACAAAATT